CGATCGAGATCAAGCTGTCCAACAGCTACACCGTCAAGGGCATCAAGAGCGAGCAGACCATGGACAGTGTTGTGCGCATTGACGTCGGGCCCGACGGCAAAATCACCCGCGTCGACGACAGGTGGAACGATAATATGCCTGAGGGTGCTGTCGCCCAGGTATGTCTTTTGTCATTCGTCGATGCATGCGCTCGTCCGTTCAAGAATATACACTGACCATCTCGTCCCAGACATTGAGAAAGCTCAATGCCGTGTCGGTGCCCAGGTTTGTCACTGTGCCCAAGACGGAGGAGGAGGACGCCAAGTTGAAGTCGGAGCGAGAGAGCCAGCAATCGGTCTGAGGTGGCCAGGCCAGTCTCAGGCACAGTATGCGAATATAGCCACTTTTCTGCAGCCATCGCCCTCAGCGGCGCCGTTCAAGACTGTGCGACGCGGGCTCGGTGAGCTCATTGGGCATCTCGATCGTCCATGACGAACGTTATTCCTCGCCTGCGTCATGTGATGATGTCTGCGCGCGCATCCCACCCGCCCCCGGAGACGACTGATAGCCATGGCGGGCGGAGTCGCCTCCTTTACCCCCAATCCATCGTTGACACCATTCTCGAATGGTTTAGTAGAAATGAACCCCCCCCCTTTTGAAATCCATTCTGAACCAAGAGAAATGACATCCTCCGTGCGCGACTTGCACATTAGTCCGCGCCTCGTCGACACAGAGGAGGGGATGGGCTCGTTCATGACGTCCATCCCCTCCACCAGCACCTTATACCTCAGCCTCGCAGGCCACGACCTCGGCCAGCACGGCGAGCTCGCCCTCGTCATCGTCCTCGTCTACCCGCAGATGCACATTGCGCTCCTCGACGTCCCGGAGCTCGACGGCGCCGTCTTCACGACCCCGGGCCGCGACGGCCCGCACCCTCCGGTCCGTCCTGGAGGGCGGCCGGAACACAAAGTGCTTCTGGGACATCCGGCTCAACGCCGAGGCCCTGTGGACCCTCTGCGGCGTGGGCCTCGACAACGTCATGGACATCCAGCTGCTCGAGAACGTGACGCGCTCCGGCGACCGCAACTACGTGCAGGACCTCGACTGGTGCGTCCAGCGCGACCTCGACGTCGAGCCCGACGAGCTGCGTCTCGGGCTCCGTGCCCGGCGTGTCGTCGCCCGCGCCGCCGGCTCCGCGGCCCCCTTCACCGAGCGGCCCATGAGCCCCGAGACGGTCCTCGACTGCGTCAACAGGGTCTTTCACCTGCCGGCCCTGCACGCGCTGTACGACCATCACGCCGAGCCCGACTGGCCTGCCTGGGTGCGCTGGGAGAGCCTGCGCCGCGCGCTGCGGGTCCGCAGCGCCGGCTACGACCCCCGCTCGTCCGAGACCATGGTCTCGCCGTGGTCTGACATTGGCGACGGGGGTTCCTGGACCTTTGGCGACCACGTCGACGCCACGCAGTATCACTGGAAGACGGAGGCCCAAGAGGACACGGCCGCTTCGCTGGCGGCTGCGGGAGACAAATCGTTCGAGGGCGAAGAGTGCCGCCAGTAGGGATGCCGGAAGATTGAAGCTGGTAGTGGCCAGCAGTGTTGTTGAAAGCTGTGTGAAGTATCGGAATTTTGTACCAGTACGACTGTCGCAACATTGTATGACCTCTTTTCAGTCGAAGAATCAAAAGTACCACGAGCAATAGCGAGCTCGATTCAATAATATTGTCTCCAATTCGAGCCACCAGTTCTTTTCCAGTGCTGGATGCATGACCACTCTTGCCTGGGGCAAAAGGGCAAAAGGGCAAAAGTTAATCGCTGGTCAGTATGAGGGTCGAACTCATGACCTTGGCATTATTAGTACCACGCTCTAACCAACTGAGCTAACCGACCAGTTGATGAGATTGGACACCTTGAAGTAGAAACATATACCTAAAGTAACTATACCAACTCGATTACTATTCCTCTTAACCTGCAAAGCACATCATTTGCGGATGTCCTCGTTTTTGGGCATTCGCCGTGTGTTAATGCGGCTCCTGACCCCTGTCTGGTGTGTCACTTGTGCCACCGAAAGGTGAAGGTACAGGGCGTTTCCCTACCAGATGGCCGCCTGCACTGAGATCAAGCAGTGAGAAGCTGTCCAAAAATCTCAACGCACTTCGGAAACGAAATCCTCTCAGACGGCGAAAAAGGATGATCAACGACGGTTCTTTTTTACTGCGAGGAGTCTGATCCCTTGGGTAATAGATTATAGCCCTCAGGGCAAATCGCGGCATCCACACGCTGCAAGCGCTTTCGCCGAACCAAACGCTGCCTTGAACCACACCGTAAACATCAAGGTAACAATGTGGCCATCGTTCCCGGCCCTTGAGGCTCCTAAACGTCTTTCTCGCCCTCGCCCTCCTCGTCTTCTTCGTCCTCTTCGTCATCGAATGCATCATATATCTCGTCGTCATCGTATGCATCACATATCTCGTCTTCATCGTCATCATAGCCATCTTGTCCGCCATCATACTGCCCGTACCACGGTCGTCTCCATGACGAGTAGCTCGAGTAGTAACTGCTTGTGTCTAGCACGCGTTAGCCGAGCAAACAACGTCGCGCGCGCGAGCGAGCAGGGTCTCACCTCGGACGCCGCTGATTCCAAGCTGATCAGCAACATTCACGTAGCCCTCATTGTTAACGTGGCTTCCACCCCTCATCGTCTTGACCATCTCTTCGTCCCCTTCCCACACGCTGCGACAAAGGGGGCAAGTTACCTCCAACTGACGCTTCGTCTTGGCCCAGGTCTGGAAGCAGTCGCGGTGAATGTTCTGCCCACAGGCGGCCCGGCACCAGACGACCTGCTCGTTCCTCGAGGCGTCCAGTCCGTCAAAGCAGATGGGACAGTCGCCCTCGACCGGCTTCCGTCGGTCATCGGCCGAAGCACTTGGGTCCTTGGCGGCATCGAGTGCGTCTTTGCTGTCGATGGGAGGCGCGGCGGCGAAGATCTCGCGGAGCTCGCTGCTCAGGAGGGCAAGCTGGTACACGTGCTGGAACCTGGCACGCAGCACGCGGGCCATGACCTGCAAATGTCAGCGCGCGACGGAGAGCCGCAAGGAGTAGAAGTCCTGACGTAAAGAATGTGCTTGCACTGGTTGCCCTTCCGTGCATGGGGGCAGTTGCATGACGGATTCTGGCCAATGTGAATGCTATAGACATTGCCCGTCGACCCAGCCAGCTCGATTGTCTCTTCGGGGCATTCTGCGGTCCCCCCGCGTTCACGCTTGATCACATAGAATCTTGGGAATTGAATCAGCTAACCCATGAAATGGGCAATGTGCTGCTCTGGGTGACGGACCGTTGGGAGAGCGCGCGCTCATAGACGGTGTAGAAACTCTTGGGTGGCTCAGGTCGAAACCTTCTTTGACGCTTCTCCGACTTTGGGGATTCTGGCTGTGCTTTCCTCTTCTTGCTGCTAGAGGGAGTTGATGGAGCAGCGGCTGATGGATTATTCTGAGATGGACCGCTCTTCGCTGGCGATGACGTCTCATGCGTTGTTGGCTGACGAACAGAAGCAGCATGCGCCCTGGGGCAAGCATCAAGATAGGTGGCAGCCGAGCTGTCTGCGCGTGTATTTTCCATGTCTGTAGTATAATGACTGCTTCAATGCTGTGCTACACAGCACACGGCCTAGAGTAGCAGGTACTGACAGATCTTGAGGAGGACGCGACCTCAAGCACTGGCCTCGTTGGCAACTGACCCCGTGGTGTGTTCACCGAGGTGAGAGCGGTGAGGGTGGACAGGCCCATCCCTTTGACGCCGAAATTTGGCCTCAGTACCTCGGAATGCCACCGCCTTCCTAATTGGGACTAGCACCAGAGATCCACAGCTACCTGCCTATGGCCCTAGATACCTGCCTGCCTCGCAACCCTCCACAACCACCACTACGTTAGCGATATCTAGACCCCTAAACCACTAAAAAAACCATTAAAAAGCACTATTTTCATTCATTTTCAAGCCTCATAATAGAGCTAAGTACTGCAGAGCTCGGAGATATAGGTATAAGGCGTCCTAATGCCTGACTGATACCTCTTATAGTTGCTGAGTTCGAGCTGATACGAATACTGTGTTTTTAACGTTATTTCTCTAAGCACTTGCCCTAGACCCCTCTAGAGCTATTCGAGCTATTTGTGCTACCTTACCTAGTATCCCTCTAGGTGGAATTCGTGAATATCTCCCCTATAGGCGACTCTGATGTACTGAGGCCAAATTTCGGCGTCAAAGGGATAAATTTACGTAGCCCGTGTCGCGAGGTCACGTGCACTCTTGCCGACAAGGCAACAAAGTTACAGCGTTACTTCTTCAGGGATACTTTTGGCCGTCGCGTTCAAGAGCACTTTGTGTTTGGTTTCGCGCTTCCGAATGTTCTGTCTATCGTCGCCTTGGGCTTGCGGCGGCCGCTGTTCGCGGGCCCTTCAGTACCAACTAACCAGGTGCTAGGCGTTAGTGGCGCTTCCGACTTGGTCAATCTCAAGGACAACCTCGCCCACGATTTGAAATCCTTGGTAAAGAGCAAGCGCGCAGGCATGTAAGCTCGTACTCGGTTCCCATGCCGCTGGTACCATGTCCTGCGGTATTTACCTTAGGTTTCGAGCCCCCCCAGCAGCGACTTGAACTCAAGGATCATCAGGGACCGCATACATGTACAGGTCGAACTAACGCACTCGTTTGTATCATCCCTTTGCACGGCACAAAGATGAGCCGATAACAGGGGTCGGAATTATTCTAGTGATGTCGGCGTGACCAACCCTTGGGGTCTGTCGTGGAAGTGGGCTGCATACATCCTTCGAAGGCCGTCTCAGGCGGTAAGTCGACCAAGGCGCCATGAAGAGCACCACAGGCCCGGAATCAAAACATTGTGTGTCAAGCCCAAATCCGAATTCCTCTTTACCGGGGAGCCGCTGGTCTCGACACCTGGGGAAGTGCCCGCATCCAAGGGGTTGGTTCACGCCACATCTTGCGGCCATCCCACGCAGTAAGCATACACGTGGGGTTCAACCGCCGCCGCGTCACTGATCAATCTCATTCAAGCCATTTCCGAGGACTAAGGGTACCGGGGAGAGGTTGGTTGGGTGAATCGAAGGCCCCAATGCTTGGCGTGGCTGCCAACTACCGGACCATGTCGCCATCGGTTCCTGTCGATGTCGTGATCCGCAGGAGCCAATCGAATCTCGCGTTCCCCACGCAAACCCATGGCTTTTGAGATCGCGCAACGACAGCTAGCTACAGATTGGCAGCTCAAGTGTGCATCGTCTGCGCCGTCATGTATCATGATGTAGTTGATTTGGAGGATTTTTCTACCCTCCATCAGCAAAGCAATGGACGCAGAGGTCCGGCACCCCGGCTGTCCCCGTGTGGTAAACGACGATCGCCATGACACATGGCCATGGGGTTACACTTTCTATAAATTGTCGGGACGCCCTGGAGCAGCGAGGACAAATGATTTGCCTTGACTCTCTGAACCACGTTGTTTCAATTTTCTGCAGCTGAGACACGATGTCAGAAGCCAAATCCCACGAGCTCTACCAAGAGCCGGCCCCAAGCGGGTCGCCCGGCCCCACCACGGCGCAAGACTCCGACAGCCCCAGCGACGCCGGCGAGGCACCGGCCACTGCCAAGGCAGGCAATGAGAAACCCTCCGACATTGTCCACGCTCTCGAGGTCGAGCACGGTATCAAGGAGAAGGCCCTCATTCGGAAGATTGACTACAAGCTGTTACCAGCCCTTGGTCTTCTTTACCTCCTGTCCTTCCTTGATCGCTCCAATGGTATGCGAGGGCCCATGGGACATGCGCAACATTGTAACAAGGCATGCTGACAATGGAAAAGTCGGAAACGCTCGTATTGAAGGAATGACTACCGATCTCGGCATCTGTAAGTGAAAACATTACCCTCACTTTCGGTAGCTTCTGTACTGACAGCAGAACAGCCGGGAACGAGTAAGACAAGTGCCGAGACACAGTGGTCAAATGTATACTGACCACACACCTGCGCAGATATCTCACAGGTTTGACCATGTACTTCATTGGTTATGTCCTTTTCGAGGTCGGTATTCGGCACCCTGCAACGCGTACATGCTCCAAACTAGCGACGTCTTGCTGACTGGAACGCACAGATTCCGGCGAACATTGTGCTCAAGAGGACGTCTCCTCAGTTCTGGTTGCCTACTCTCTGTGTCGCATGGGGCATCGTGGCCACTCTCCTGGGCATAGTCCACAACTTGGCTGGCTTCCTCTCCGCTCGCTTCTTCCTGGGAGTGGCAGAGGCAGGCTATTTCCCTGCCGTGGTCTACATTCTGTCGATGTACTACAAGCGTGATGAGCGACAGTACCGCATCTCCCTGTTTTTCAGCGCTGCCTCGCTAGCAGGCGCCTTTGGCGGCATCCTCGCCTACGTATGCCGCGTTCTCTCCGACACCATCTCGTGAACGAATACTGATTGGAAGTAGGGAATTGGCCGTATGAGGGGAGTTGTGTGGGACAACAGCTGGCGCTGGATCTTCATTCTTGTGAGATTGATCTTGGCTTGCTCATACCTTGTCTGAGTTACTGACATCTCCTCAGGAGGGCATTGCAACCGTGGTTATCGGTGTGGCCGCATACTTCTTCGTCCAGAACTATCCGGACACTGCTAAATTCTTCACCGAGCCCGAGCGCAAGTTCGTCTACGCTCGGTTGGCCGCCGACTCGGACGCTACACACGCAGAACCGTTTACTTGGGCAGCAGTTGTGAGCGCTCTCAAAGATCCCAAATGCTGGCTCTACGGCTTCGGCTTCCACACCATGAGTCTTCCTCTGTACACGTTCAGCCTCTTTCTTGTGAGTCAGAGTATCTCTGTCGCGTCCACTTCACTTGCCAGGTTTGCTAATGTTCAAATCTACAGCCTACCATCATTCGCGATCTGGGTTAGCTACGGTCTCTGATTCGCAGGAAACCAAAATACTAACGTCATGACAGGCTACTCAAGCTGGCGAGCGCAGCTCTTGACGGTCCCGGTCTATGCCTTTTCGTTCGTCACTACCTTGGCTGTTGCCATTTATTCGGAGCGTCTCAAGCAGCGAGCCATCTTCATCGCTGGATCGTCGTTCTTCGCTATCATCGGCTACATCATGCTGCTCGCCAACTCGGATCCCACCGGACGGCCGGGCCTCTCGTATGCCGGCACGTTCTTTGCGGCCGGCGGCATCTACCCCGCCACAGCTCTTGTGCTGTCTTGGCCTGCTATCAACGTCTCTGGGCAGACCAAGCGAGCCATCGGCAATGCCATGCAGATCACGATTGGCAACTGCGGCGCGATCCTTGGAACCCAGCTCTACCGAGCCAACGACGGCCCTAGGTTCATTGTCGGCCACTCCTTTGCCTTGGCCTATCTCGCCGCCAATATTTTGGTTTGTGCCACTCTTCGCTTCATCCTCAAGAGGGAGAACACGCGCCGTGAGCAGATCGCCAAGGAGGTCAAGGAGATTGGCGAATTGACGGATTGGCCTGGTGACTCGGACCCCAGGTGGCGATTCCAGTACTAAGTGATGGTCGTCAAGGTGAAGATTACGCCGTGGGAGCAGTTGAGCTTCTGAGTCTCAAACCTCAGACGAACAAACGCAAAAAGTATTCATAGACAGATCGATACCGTGGGTTTACTTGTATAGTGACCCGGATACTTTTAAAAAGCACATTTGGTAACATTGGTTCACCTCTCTAAATATGATGGTTGATAGTGGTGAGCAATGTATTGAAATGTATTGTGTAGCCCCCGAATCATACTCGAGAGTAGCTCGTGATGCACCTAGTAGCGGTCATTAATTTGCAGTAGCTCGAGAAGGTCTTGAAAATCTCCAACCGAACACAACGATCCGCTTTGCGTCTTGAAGCCGCCTCCATGACCAACTTCCTTTGTGACTCAAGCTAGGGAATAGAAAGACGTGTAGCTTAGTTACCGTACCCCAGATGATATATTGTGCTTGGAGCTCACAGCTCCGAACTGGGTGCTGGCGAAGCTTCGTCATTGTCGTGGAGTTCCTGGCCGCCTGCAAAGGCATGAATTGGCTTAACGCGCTTCGTGGGCTTGGCATTGCTGGGATCGCCGGGTGCCTTTCGTTTCGTCCTTGCCAGGCCTTCGACTATCGCAATCAGTCAGAGAATAATTCTCAAGTACATGATGACTGCCATGACCTGCCTTGTGCTTGGCCTATCTTTGGCGCAGCGACTCTGATTGTTAAGGGACGTGTGAACATCGAGCAAGGTTCTTTGCGCTGGGCCTGTGTTACCCGTGCGACGTGCGATTGCAAGGCGGCGCCAGCATCGTCAAGGCCCGCAAGTTTGGTGACGATGTCGTCCCGTTTGGCTATGAGTTCTTTGACTCTGATTTGGAGTGCGCCGATGTCAGCCAAGACTGTTGAAGCTTCAATACTGAGCTCAGTGACCTTGTCATCGAGACTAGGGACAGATTCCAGTAGCGCCTTGAGGACTCCGTCGGCTGCGTCTACGAGAGGTACACAGCCCGCTGTCAGGCCCTTACTCTGGGTCGTTTGAAGCTGATCCTGAGTCTCTTCAAGAAAAACCTCTTCAGAGTGCGCGGTGTTCTCATTGCTGAGTACGTCGGATTCGGCGGCATGATTTCCGCGTGTCTGATGAAGCCATGCCAAGTCAGAATCCGTGATGTCCCAAGGTTCCTCGATCCAACTTTTTGCCAGTCTCTGCTTGCGCACCTTGCCACGCTGACGCCTGGCGACTTTCTCAAATCCTCCCGCATTTCGATCGTGTTGCTCCCTATTTGGCTGAAGTTCTTGGCCGTTCGTCTCGAGCTTGACGAATCTGGCCACTTGTAATTTTCTTTTTTGTTTCCTTGTATAGCTCACCTCGTGTTTCTGGTGCTGACCAGTCCCGGCAATATGATCCGCAACCTCGGTGCCCTTATTGCATCTTGCTACAGGATGGGGTTCTTTCCATTGCCCCCAGGTAGACGTTGGCTTTCTTCGTATCTTTTGAGACTGTTGGCTGCCGTTTTGTTTCCTGGTCTCAATGTGATTGCGACCCTTCTTCTTATTCTTTCCTTTCCACATTTTCATCTTCTTTTGACCGAAGTGCTCATCAGGCTTGTACTTCTTTGAGTTGACTACCCAAAAATCGTGGGTTTTCCTGCGACCAGCCATGGTGGTTCTGCGTTGATCAAGTTTGTCGGAGAGTAGAATTCTATGCCTTTGCCTGCGAGGAATTCTTAGCTGACAGGATGCGCCGAAGGGGTGGAACTTCTATAACATAGCTCTGAAGCAGATGGTCTCCTTGGGGGCTAATCATCACGGGAAGGACTACTATTCTGCTCTTGCCTACCTCTTGGAACCTTGAGTATGACAATTGTTGAGATGCTGATACTATCGACCATTTACACAAGGGAGCCATGGCAGACGAAATGAGAGTCTCCCGTACGCCTGTCTCTTGTGAGCATGGGAGGGGCATTCTGATACCTGCCCACATCTAGCAATACAACCCCGGAAGCCGGTCTCGACAACCGCCACCCTCGCTTCTACATTGTCATCAACGTCCCAGCTCCAACTTATTCACGCCAGGATCTAGGGCTATGCCAGATTCTCAAATCTTCACCGTATCCCAGCCCTACTAAGTCTTCATCTATTGGTCGGTTAGCTCAGTTGGTTAGAGCGTGGTACTAATAATGCCAAGGTCATGAGTTCGACCCTCATACTGACCAATGATATCTCTTTTGCCGAACTCGGCGCATGTGTTTTCAAGGTGGTCAGAGTCTTTTTGATCCATGATGGGAACGGGGCTATCATGTGTCAGGTCTTTTTGGTGAAGGCGATTTGACACGTACGGCTGGAAACAGGGACCTTCCTAGACGACCTGAAGACGCAAGCTTGACAGATGAGATGTAGTGGTCAACTATCCACACTGCCTCTTGATTTGACGTGATTGGATTCATTACATATGCATCCGCCTCACTCGACATGCGTCACCAAACAGGGCTGGGAACAGGAAGGCCATGATCATTCATTAAAACGCTAGAACTGACATGTCAAAGCACTTATTTGTGCATAGCAGCCACCGTCTCCGCAGACGTGGGAACCTTGTCCTGCGCCGGCGTGATATCAGACGGGTTGCCCGTCTTGCCCCGGGAGTCAGGCTGCACGCTGACATCGGCGCGCTGCTGACGGATAGGGTCGGTGGAGCTGGCGCCGACACCCTCGAGCCCGCTGCCGTCCGACTTCCTCTTGCCGCCGTGCAGCTCCTGGCTCGTCATGCCGGCACCAGGGTGGCCGAGACCGGCGTGGACGTCAGCGCTGGTGGCGCCGCCGAGGGTGTCTGAGGCCTTGGGAGCCTGTCCCGGGATGACCTCGGAGGAAGGATCCGGCTGGTAGGCATCCTTGGAGGGGGCAGTGCCGGCGGGGTGCGTCTCGGCGTGGAACTCGGGCTTCGCGTCGTTGCCGACTAGGGTTCCCGGGGCGTGCTGGGCAAGTTAGCGAACTGGGATTTCGGGCTTGTAAAGCACGGCGGACTCACGCCTTTGGTGGTGAGGGGCTCAGAGCCAGGCACCCTGGGGTGGAACTCGCCCTGGTTGGGGCCAGCGACGGACGCGGGGTTGCTGTTAACAGACATGGTGTTTGTTCCTGTGAAACGGAGGCTCTTGAGCAAATAATGTTAGATGCTGGACGCGGTTGGAAGTATGCGTCGCGAAGCAATGATGAGGGGAGTGATATGAAGACGGCCAACAATAGCAGCTACTGCAGGTCTTCTTCGACAGGCCTTATATCCATTCTGACTGCGCGCATGAAAAAAGACTGTCAGGTTCGAGAAGGTGATGTCACTTCTCCTCATTACATCACCGTTGTGGGCAACACCCAAGATGAGGACCGCTTTTCTATCGAGAGGACCATCGAATACCAGGACTTTCAGCCTTGGACTTATGGTCTCGTGCAGAAAACTGGAGAATGACTTCATTGATGCTGTCTAGAGGGGTTTCCTGTTGTCAGCTTGAATGCTTAACATATGGCTCCACATCGGATTCGGCGACGGTTGCTGCCTCCGCCAAGAGAACCGGAGGGGAGGGACGGACATTCTGCTCCGGTCCGACCGGCCCTGACTCGAGGAACCGGCAGATCACGATGATCAGGCCGATATTGCACATGGTAGAATTTTTTAAGAGTCTCTATTGATCTCCGCTTCAACGTGGGGTTCTTCCTGTTGCAGGTAACGTATCGACCAGGTTCTTGAGAATGAACGTCGAATGATCATCGCGATCGCAGATTGCCCCAAGGGTCCACGGAACCAGAAGATGGCTCTCATTCACGGTGGTCCTGAGGAGAAGCTACTATCAATCGGCTGTAGCGCGAGCTAGAGCAAGTGCGAGGAGTCTGGCGGTATATAAGGACTCGCCTGGTTGTTCTCCACGCGAGCGCGACAGAGCATACATGGCCAACGTTGAGGCTTGTGGATTCTCCATTGCTGAGGCAATCGAAGTTGTGCAGTGGAACGAGCTTGTGGCAGTAAAACGATGAAACCAAGTCTGTCGACGACGATCCGGGGAACGTACCTACCCTTTACCTTAGGTACCTTAGGTACCCAGGTGCTTAGGTACCCAGGTGCTTAGGTACCCAGGTGCTTAGGTACCCAGGTGCTTGTAGGTCATCCTGGTGTCGTCCTAGCACCAACGGTACTTGACTCCATCACGGCAACCACACTGCACCAACAAATGGGCCATTTCCACTGGAGAGGTGACGGGGACCTACCAACTAGCACTACAGCCATGTGACAGGCCTAAGAATCTGGCGTCCTAGGGGCAGAGGATACCTAAGCAGCATCCTCATCAGCCAGCAGATGGGAAGGAGCTTGGAGGCTGTGGCCAGCGAATCGTACCGACAGTACTGACAGGCTTCCATAACCCGAAGGCGTCACGTGCCTCGCACGGTAGAAGCGCTCAACACTCGCACCTTCTCCTTCTCTCCACGAACAAGTCTCTTCACAATTCCGTCGCGATTTTGCTCCCTCCCCCTGCGACTCTCACCATGTTACGGTCCCCGGTCCTCTTGACCGACTCTTTGCTCAAGGAAATGCCGAAACGACGAGAATAGCATCGCATGACTTCGCAGCGGCGCCCTTCGGAGCTTGCCAGCACGCGAACCCTTCTACGCTCAGACCTTCGACCTCGCAGTGCCAGACACCAAGTGGTGCTTTCTCGAAACCCATTACATCGGACCAAGGCGCCAGTCGCGTTGCTGGCCAAGCCAGTCGCATTCCTGACGGAAAAATCGAGCCATGGTGCGACAGAGGCAAGGCTACTGGCCGCCTACATCGGAAAACTGACCATGGCCATCGCCTAGCCTCGCCTCACAGTTTGGTTTTTTCAGCAATGCGGGCGATTGTTCACAGCACGCGCACTTTGGAAAACATGGCACGAATCACAAAAGATGTCGGATGATGAAGCCAAGGGAAGGGGCTGTTTTTTTGGTGTGTTTGTCGCAACTTGACGCTACATGCCGGCCCCCTCCTCCATCGACCCGTCGCCTCAGCATCGTGGGCCGAGGTGGTCAGGTAGCCGCACCGCCGGCCTGACCGCCCCGTGCTGCCTTGTTGGTGCCGCTCTTGGTACCGCTCTTGTTGCCTGCGCCATTGCCATTGTTCTTGCTGGTGGCATTGCCGGCGTTTCCGCCGCCCGCGCCTGGCGCAGGCGTAGGGGAAGGGCTGCTTGCAGGGGCAGACGCATCGGCACCGCCAGCCGGAGGCAGAGCGCCGGTCGGCGCCCCAGCGACCTCGAGACACCCGGTAGGTCGGGCGGCGGAGACCTCCGGCATGCCCGCGGCGGCAAAGTACATGTCAATGTTGGGCAGCACGTTGACGCAGCGGTTGTTGTTGATGGCGTTGACGTCGGCCTGCGCCGTGTCCGGGCCGTTGTTGACCATGGCCTGGAGGACGTCGACGACGTTCTGGAACGTGCCCTGCGTCTCGAGGACCTCGTTGGCGCTCTGGACCATCGGGTTGTCGCCGAGGCCCGCGTCGAGGATCTTCTTGTGGTTCAGCTCGTCCAGCTCGGCGTTGAGCGCGATTTGCGCTTGCAGGGTGAACTCGTCGCCCGTCAGCGACGTGGCCGTGTTGACAAAGTTGGTGACCTTGCCCGTGTCGTTCATCCAGCCCATGACGGCATTCATGAGCTGCGTGTCGCTGGGCGTCTTGTTGGAACCAGCGCCGCCGCCGTTGTTGTTGTTGTTGTTGTTGTTGTTCGCTGGCGGCGCTGTGCCGTTGGTGGCCTGTCTCATGGCAATGAATCCAGCATTGCTTCGCACGCGATGGCCATGGCCAGCTGCTGGCGCAGCAGTGGTGAACGCGGCGAGGATCGAGAGGCCTACGGAGAGGGAGAGTGTGGTATGCATCGTGAGGAGGACGTGGCAGAGTGCTCCGAACAGGAGGCTAGAGCATTAAAGAAGGTATTGCGTTCCCGGGAGTGTCGGATCCGAAGAGGTCAACCTCTTTGTGTGAAGGAGCGAAGGGGCAGTGAGAGACAGAGAGTGTAAAGCGAATTAGTAACAGGGGGCACCAGGCAAAGAAACAAAACAGAGCGGAACTGCTCGGCAAGGCGAGGGAAGCAGTGAGAAGGCCCCGATATTTCAGTTGAGCAGACTCAAGGTCTCGTCATGGGTTACTGGGGTCTGCCGTCGAGCGCAGCCGGGGTTTGCGATGGAGATGGTGTCGCGTTGCGCCCCGAGTGCCCTTGTCTCGACACAAGCTACGTGGGGTGTGTGTCATTCGCTCCTCAAAGGGGCGGTTTTGGCCGAGAGAACAAGAAAAGAAGCCAAGAAAAGCTCGAGACGACCCCAAGACGAACATGAGCCAAGTGGTTCGTTTGAAGGGAATGGTAAGTCACCTCAGTGGGCCTCCATCAACGGTTTGGGTGTGCCCCGGAGAATCATCCGGCACAAGGAATCGGGCGAGGCAACATACGATCAGTTCCTGTGTAACATCTTGCACCCGACGGAACGACACGCGATGTCTAATGAGTCGGTACAGACAAATATTTCTAGATATATATTCATTCTCATGAAATCTTTTCGACTGTCGTTGCAAGGGCCGTGCCAAGGCAAAGACGACAACGAGACGCTCGAGCGCCCTTGATACCTTCAACTTGCATAGCTCACCTAACCTACGAAATTCCCAATTGATTGGGACTAGAGACCGAAGATTGACGGCTGCGTTGTTTCGCTGACGCTTTCTCTCGCGCGCTTAAGATCGACGTGATCCATCCTCCAAGAACGTGAGCCCCTTGGAGATCCACGCTCATCCCCCGCAAAGATCGATGGCCGCTCACTCCCGCTTGGACCTCGACCACGTTGCCCCTCGGTCTCGTTGGGTAAGGGTCAACGCCAACTCGAGGAGGCCGAGCACTTCCTCTGCCAAGGCCCCTCCTTGTAGCACAAGTTGGGCACAAAACAATTTCAACTATTCGGCTTTTCGGAAAAGGAATCGTTAAGCTTAAGGCCTCAAACGCCTTTGACTGCCCGTGTCATAGTTCAGCACGAGACCAATCGCAACATCGCTCTTCGGGCCCTACCGAAACCGTGTCTTGTCACTCGACAGCGTGAGCATCCTACGCCCTCGGAGGGCTCAGACTGTTCTGGCAAAGAGCCTCCTCGCCTACCACTATCCATCCCATCTTTGTTGAAACCCTTCTCGACCATCACCGAAACCTTCCTCGTGACTGACCTCCAATGCACACGTCGAACTAGCGCTCTTCGCATTGCCCTGAGCCACTGGTGCATTCCGACAAGCGCGGATGCCCTCCTGTCCGATCCCTCAACGCACGGCAGTGAGCCCTCCGCCACTGCCACAACCGCAGTCGTCCAACCACGGAGCCTTGCCCTGCGACAGCTCGTCTCGACCTGAGGATGTCTTGTCGGCTTGGTCTGGCTCACATATTGCCCACCGTCATAGCATCACGCTTGATGATGGGATTAGTCTGATCGCCATCACCTTTCGACTGATGTTTGAGGATCCACTCTTCCATTTATATCATCAGTCTCGTGCCCATCCCTCTTTTTCTTTCCTTTCACTTCACAATAGCTCGAAGCGTTGTCCTTCTGACAGACCGATTTTCAGTGTGTTCTTGTCTGTCCCGCGGGCTCGGTCTCGGTGTCTGTCCCTCCTTCGTTTCTCTTGACATCCCTCAGCCCCGGTGGTTGATTGTATTGATTGTCTTTCATTCTTAATTTTTGTTTCCTCTTTTAACATTTCTTTCTTCTCTTCCGTCATATTCGCTGGCCATCATCATGTTGTCACTCAAGCGGTTACCACTTGCTTTGGTCTTGGTGTGGTCAAGGTTTTCCTTCACAGCCTTGGCGCAAGATCAAAATGTCCAGTTCAACCAAGTTGTCAACATCAACGGCGATGTGAGTTTCGATTTTCTGGAGTATCTACTAGCAGCTCTGGTTCCTTACTGACATGCTCTACAGATGCAACTGAACCGCATCATCATGCCCGACCAGTCGAGAATCGAGACCTTCTCACAAACGCAGCGTCAAGTCATCGTCAACCAAAATCCTGCGCCTTTGCCAGCGACCCATGTCGTCGGCAGCACGGGGCAGCCTTTCATGCAGCTGTCGCCGAATGCCATGACTATCCAAACGAATCAGGCCACCGATCTCGTGGGTGGCTCTATCATCATGCCTTTCGATCGCAACGCCCTCCAGCAGAACCAGATCACCCCCGATAACACCTTCGTTGCGAAGCTCTCCCCTGACCGGCAAGCATGGATCATCCTTGAGGGTGACAAGTCTGTGAACGAGTAGGTCACGCACCGGACTGAAGCTGTAGTGTTCCGGGAGACTGACTTGAATAGGGGCGAATCGAATGTCCGTATGACCCGCATGACCAACATTGATGGCGAGTATGTCGTAGTTGGCCGCCGCACTACCGAGACTGGTGTTTCCCTCACCCAGTTCAGCCAAGACCCAAACCAAGCTGTCCAAATCCAGGGATCGGGCATCCAGGAGGTCGAGTTTCAAGACGGCTTCCGCATGTCTATCCGTGCAAGCCAGCCCATGTCTATTCAGGTCAACGTTGTCAACGGCGTCAGCTCGGGCATGATCATCAGCGGCACTCAGCCCGTCAGTACGTGATACCGCCCTACCCTGCGCTGCCGACCTCCGTTAACACAGCGCAGACAACTATCGTTACCTTGTTTCCAGTAACCTGGCGGGTGTTCAGTCTGACCTGAACCGCATGGGGCTGTAGTGCAGATTCCCTGTACGTCCAGATGAACTCACTTCCGCTCATATTGGCACACTCAACTAACATTCGCCGCAGTGAACGCCGAACGCCTGATGCAGACTGCCCAGCAGATGGGAGCCGGCCCCAATGATGCCGTCGCTCTCAGCATCGAGCAGCGCGCTGTTATCCAGAACCCCGGTGGCGCAACTGGTCAGCTGTCGCCTGCCCGTCCCAACAAACGCCAGGAGGCCACTCCTAGTGACCCGGCCGCTACCGACACTGCTGCGTCTTCTGCTGCTCCCACTCAGACGCCGGATGCTCAACAGAGCCCTCCTGCAGAGAGCCAGCCGCCCACTCCCCCCGCCCAGGACCAGCAGCCGCCCCCTCAGCAAGACCAGCAACCTCCTCCTCAGCAGGGCGAGCAACCTCCTCCACAGCAGGGTCAGCAACCTCCTCCTCAGCAGGGTCAGCAACCTCCTCCACAGCAGGGTCAGCAACCTCCTCCTCAGCAGGGCCAGCAGCCCCCTCCGCAACAGGGTCAACAGCCCCCTGCTTCCCCCCCTCCTCCCCCTCCTCCTGCTCAAGGCGTTGCCCCTCCTCCGGCTGCCACACTGCTGCTCCTGGAGTCGAAAACCTCATTCCTAAAGACACTTGACACGTTCGCACAAACGCTGCCTTGTGGGAACAGAGTCGAGGGAACGATGGCTGGAGAGATTCTGTATGGTACTGTCTTATACTGCCACAGCA